CCACCCCCCACCCCGGCCCCCCATCCCCACCTCACCAGGAGCTCTGCCCTCCCAGGGCAGCATCTCACCACTTGGCTCCTTTGCTCAGATCCCCCTGGAGCGGAAGCAAGAGCACTTCCTCGTGCAAAGTAACAGTTTTTCCCCCTTGCACACTTGACACACGTTGTCTCTTTTACTTGGAAGAAAACACACTGGACCCCGGCAGTTTGCAAGCCTTCTGGGTAAAAACTCTGTGGCAAAACTGATTCATGTGTATTCGGCCTCACTAGGTAGCAGGGGGCAGAAAGCTGTGTCTGCACACAGCACGGCCCGCGCCCAGGCGTGTGCACCTGACGCTGGCTCAAGTGGGCGGGCCACACGACCCCCTGGACCAGGGAGCAAACGCCAGGAGAGAGCAAAGCACCCCGCCACGAACTTGGTTTCCTTTAACCTCAGGTTGACTCCTTCCCTGCAAAAATCAGTTTCCATACTTCAATAAAATGTTTAATGGTTAATGCCTTTTATCTAGAGCTAGAAAACCTCTCCTGTCTTAAAAATGGAGTTAGCTGAAGGGCGCCTGGGTGGCTCAGTCGGTAAAGCGTCCGACTTCAGCTCAGGTCATGATCTCACGATCTCACGGTTCAAGCCCCACGTCGGGCTCTGCGCTGACAGCTCGGAGCCCGGAGCTGCTTCGGATTCTGTGTCTCCCCCTCTCTCTGCCCCTCCCCCACTCACACTCTGTCTCTATCAAAAAATGAATAAACATTTTTAAAAATTTTAAATACTTTTAAAAATGGATTTAGCTGATATGTAAACTTGGAAACCAGTGGACCCTGAGTGAAGTGGAAACTGGCAGAGATCAGTATTTACTGGACGGTGCCCTGGGGGAGTCAGTGGACCATGCAGGGCCGCGGGGAAGACGGTCCAGACAGGGAGCGGGGGACGGCCCTGGGTCCCGGGGCGGGTGGGGGGGGAGTTGCACCTGCAGAGCCGCCTTGAATGGGGTCTTCAGGGAGCACTCCGGTGTTGGGGTCATGATGCTTTCAGACAGAAAACACTGGAAACCAGTCTGCATCCCTGCCGGTCTTGTCTTGGGTATGCGATTCTTTTTGTAGGTTATGATTCTTTGACTAATTCTTTGACTAATTATAGGCTTTTGGACGCGAGCACCACACCCAATAGTCTGTTCCCCTAGAATGTAACATGTTGTCAGCAAAATGAAATTTTTAAACAGAGGGTCCCCTTTTCAGTGCACTAGAGGGAGCTTCCCTGATTTGGGAGGATTTAAATAAATCTCTTAGCCTTCAGTAAAGCCTTTCATAAAGTGGCGAAGGACCCACACACCCTCTCCACCCTGTGACCCTCACGGATCTGTTTATAAATGCAGATTCTGTGCTCCGTGCACCGCGAGGCCCCACTGCACGTGGGAGCCACTGGACAGGGTGTGGCGGCTGCTCCCACCGTGTCCCCTTGTGTCTCCACTGCTCAGGACAGACCACGGACGTGAGTTCTGCAAGCTTCTCCCTTTGCTCACGTTGCCAACAGCTAATGGTCTTTTCCTAACAAGCGAGGGGACGTCCGCATCACCCAGCTGGCTTCACTTAATAAGTCCATCCCAGTTGCCTGAATTTCGTTCTGGACGTTTTTAAGTATCGGTTTGATTTCCTCACTGTCCAACTCCGACTCCAGGAAAAGTGGGCTCCTGAGCCAGTCCCTGGCCGGCTCCTCATCTCGAACCCCTCCGGGGACAGCCATGTTCTCTCTCGTTCTGTCACGAACAGTGGTCCAGAGGGCGTCACGATGTAAGAAAACTAGAGACTTTATTCGTACATCCATCCAAGGATCCTGCAGGCTCGGGACAGCCGCCCAGGAGGGAGGGCCGCACGTGCGACCAGAGGCAGCACCGGGCCACGTCGCGTGTCCCCAGCCCGTGCCGGCGGCTTCCAGGCAGGGACGGCCTCCATACAGCCTCAGAATAAAACAGCTGTTGAAAGAGGTTTTCCAACCAGCCCGAAGGACTAAAAGAAAGTGCCCTAAAAAGACACTTTTTATCTAAGTCTGGATCCTACACGAAGCCCTGGGATTTCATCTCGGAAGGACCTGCCCCCCGCACCGGATGCTTCTGAAATCCAGGACCCGTGGTCAGAAGGCGAGCGGTCGCAGAAGGTAGGGGCCCTGCGCGAGCCTGGAGGCCAGCGTGGGATATCGCCGAGCAGAAGTACTTTCTCTCCCGGGAGCGCCCGGGATCTGCGAAGCACCATTCACGCGCGTCTGGAGCGCCGTGGCTCCTGTGAATTACGACGTGGCCGGGCCCCGCAGGGCACCCCCCCCCCCCAGCGCTCTGTGCCAGCCCGAGACCCCACCCACACCGGCAGGGAGCCCCGGACTGGGGAAGGGGAACACAGCGAGCGCCCGGGCCGTGGCCGCACCTGTGGGACCCATCCCGGCAGAGCCCTGAGCACCGGGCTCTGCTGCTGACCCGCCCGGCCGGAGAACGGAAGTGCCACGCGTGGGGCGGGACACATTCGTCTCCCCCTCGCTCGCCCCCCGCGTCGGGTTTAACCTTCTGAGGGCAAGCTTGTTTCTTGAAGAAGCCAGTTTCTGTGCACGGCTGTCCCCGTGACTCGCGAGCGGGCCCTGAGGGCAGGGCGCTCCGGTGGGGAGGCGACGAGAGGCAGCGGCTCCTGGAGCCTCGGCGACCGACCGGGAGCCACCACACACCGTGGCCGTGGCCGGGCCCCCCCCCCCCACTTCCTCTCTCCTCCTTCCCCCCCTTTCGGTAGCAGGGCAGACTCCTCCTTTGTTTCGGAGGGTCTCAGACTCGCGGATTCCCTTTAAACCAAGACTGTTTATTGTGGCCTCGTCGGCTTCCAAAAACTATAACCCTCAAGGCCAGCTGACCAGCACGCCCAGAACTTGACCCCTGTCTTGTCCTTGAGTGGGTTTCTCAGTGGACCCGACTGCCGAGCTCCCTGGGGGACGTCCGGCTGGTCCAGAAGGGGAACTTGTTTCCCTTCCTATAAAGGCCCTGATTTAAGACACGGGGGAGCTCACAGTGTCCCAGTAGGACGGTCCTTACCTGGCAGCTTGGTTCCCGTAAGGCGGCCGCATTGACTAGGAGCTCCCGACGCGCCCAGCGCTGTCCCTACAGCCCTAGAGATGATGGGGCACCTGGGTGGCTCAGTCCGATACGCATCCGACTTCAGCTCAGGTCATGATCTCACGGTTCATGGGTTCGAGTCCCGAGTCGGGTCCTGTGCTGACAGCTTGGAGCCTGAGGCCTGCTTCGGATTTTGTGTCTCCCTCGCTCTCTGCCCCTCCCCCACTCTCTCTTTCTCTCTCTCTCTCTCTCAAAAGTACATAAACATTAAAAACAGAGAGAGAGAGAGAGAGAGAGAGATGTGAACATTCCTGTCGTGTCTGCTCAAGGACAGGGAAGGGGAGACTGGGGTCATGGATACAGCCTGCCTAAGTGCCGGCCGAGCGGTGCCCCCAGCCCCCGGGCTCCTGGTCTGGGCCACATACGGCTAGGTCGTCCATACTTCCTGCTGCTCCCCTCTGTGTAGCTACGTTTGCTTTGGACGTGTTTCCTCCCAGCCCCTCCCCTGCCCATCTTTCTCCCTCGAAGCCCATCGCACCTGCTGTCCGTAAGCCACAGAACCACAGGACTTGAAACGTTCTAACAATCTTGGAAGCTTTCGAACTCGTTCTCCTGGCTCTGTGCCTCAGGGGACTGATGTGCGCACTTGGGGGGTGCAGACAGAGAAGGGCCTGGAGACGCGGGGCCTCTCGGCCCGTCCGCCTGATGCCATCTGGCTGCCGACGGTCGTGGCCACCTGCTCCGTGCGACCGGGCGTGAGCTGTGGCGCGGCGGGGGCCCTGGTGACGAGGTGCTGCTGGCAACATCACACCTGCTTGGGGTTCGGCGCGTGGGTCCGAGGCCACCTGGGAGGTGACGGCTGCTCCCCTGCCCACGGTTTGCATTTGTGTAAAATGCTTCTTAAGCTGTAAGAAGCTTGCGGGCCTGAGAGCCAGCACTGTTCTCTAGCTACTAGAAGTAGAAAAACAAGAATGCATGTTGAATTAACAATTAACAATAATGTCGGGCGCCTGGGTGGCTCAGTCAGTTGAGCATCCAACTTCGGCTCAGGTCATGATCTTTCGGTCCATGAGTTCGAGCCCCGCGTCAGGCTCTGTGCTGACGGCTCGGAGCCTGGAGCTGCTTCAGATTCTGTGTCTCCCTCTCTCTCTGCCCCTCCCCTGCTCGTGCTCTGTCTCTCTCTCTCAAAAATAAACAAACATTAAACAACAACAACAACAATAAGGTCAAAATTTCAAACTCCAATGGTATTATTTCTGTCAAGCCCGGATCACCTGGCTCGAGACAGATGCTGTCTGTGGGGAGGGGCCTCTCCGCGAAAGTCCGGCCAGTGAATACAGCCAGGGCCGTCTCTGCCTCTTCTCACCGTTTGGAACCCTCGCTGGGAGCTCCACATTTAAAAGCCAATATTCAGATGGATGGGATTTATTAGTCTAATCTTTCGTTACGTGAAATAAAAAAGATCCTATGCAATTGAAATTAAAGCTCATATACTTTCTATTTCTAAAACATTCTTTAAAATGCCACACACAAAAATCACATTTTAGTTTCTAATAGTGATGTGGCTGTTGCAAGTATCTTTCTGGGCTCCTGACAGCAATTTTTTTAACCCGGCTTTCTTGAATCAATGCTAATGAAAACCGCCTTGCCTTATTTTTCTCTGAGCACCGAAATCGCAGCTGCCTGCCAGGCCTGCTGAGGAATGAGTGTAATCATTTTCAATTGGCCTCTGAGCCCGAAGGGCCTGATGCAGGAGAGCGACCGCGGAGCGCGGCTCATCTCGTGTCTGAACTCAGCCCGATTTGTGTTCGCTGTTTCTTGCAGGCGCTAAGGAGATTGATATCGCCGCGACCCTGGAGCACTTGAGGGACCAGAGACCGGGCATGGTCCAGACAAAGGTACTGTGGGCCAGCCCTCGGGCGTCTTTCCGCGGTTGTTTCCGAGCGAGGGCAGAGGGGAAGGGGACGTCTCCCAGGCAGGTCCCAGGCGGGACAGGGGCCCCTCCCAGGAGGGTCAGTCGGGGTCCCAGCAACCACCCGAATCTCAACAGAAAACGATGCAGGCAGACCTCCAGTGTTTGGAGCCCTCCATGCACCAGACGCAGGGGAAGGGGAGAACATCACGTTTTTATAGAAAGATGTCAATGATAAACCCCAGCACCCTTGCAGGAGAATGTTCTAGATTCACTAAACATTCTGCCAGACTCCCCTGCTTCCGGCCCTCAGAACCACGGCTCTGTTGTGTGGTCGTCAAATGTCCCCCGGGTGCGCTGGGGTCCTCCAGCGCCTCAGCGTGGCTGATTTGCATACTTACTGAAAAGGCCACGTCTGCAGCAAAAGGCAGAAAGACAGGGCTGCTCCCGAGCTGGAAGTGCGGTGAAGACGACGGTCCGTTCCGTTGGCGCTCGGAGACACCCGTGTCCAGCAGCAGCAGGAGCTCCCACGCCTGTTCCGTGAGAGCACTGAAGTCGCCAAGTACAGAATCTCCTCTTTGCCAAGGTCGTCCTCACTCTCAGAGGCTACGAGCCTCCACCGAAGACCCAAAGTCCGTAAAAGATGCCCTTGCAAAACTGCTTCTTTGCACCCAAGAGGACTTGAAGTTGTAAACGGCACTCATGAAATGGAGGTGGCCCAAGGCCCAGAGGAGTGTGCTCTGTGCCTTGGGGTGACGGTTCCGGGACTGCAGGGAGTTTCCCCTGCCTCCTGGGGTCCCGCTGTTTCCCCCAGAAAGTGCCAGAGGTCCCCAAGCCCCTGTTCTGTCTGAATGTTACTGTGGAACTCGAACGTGACACAAGGGCTGAGCTGGGTGGGGGAGAGGCTCTAAATCCCAAGCGCTCTGGGGAGAACCGAGAAGCCACGCGGCCGTAAGACTAGGCTGAACACATTGTGAGCTGGAGGATTTCTTAAAATACCTCAACAGGGCCACCTGGCTGGTTCTTCGTGGCCAAAGTCAACCCCGAGCACTGAGGCAAATGTAGCTTAATTCTCCTACAGAACCACAAACCTATCCTACACGGAACCAGAAGCCTCGTAAAGACTCCCGAACTGCCCCGGCCGTGCCCCCCCGCCCCCCAGCGGCACCTGCCCCAGCCGGGGACCTCCACCCAGGTGCCAGCACCATGCACGCTCGGCCCCCGGCCCCCCGCGGCCCCCGGGAATGTGACGAGACCCTCATATGATCAGCGTGAAGAGACCTTATCAGTCACAGCACGCTTTGTTTTCCTAGGGGTTTGTTTATCTGAAATTCTGAAATTATTTCAGAGCTGCAGAACGCTGGCAGAAATAGAAACTCCCGTGTGCCCTCCCTCGGCTCCCCCTGCCAGCACCTTCCGCAAGCACCGTGCGGCGATCGAGGCCGGGAAGCCGGAGCCGGCATCAGGATCCCGCACACCTCTCCTTTCTATGCACATATGCGACCCTTCTGCAGAATAACACCAGAGCTAAGGGCTGGAGTCCAGAGGAGAGCGGCCCCACTCACGGCTTCCCCCGCTTTTGTCCTTCCAGGGCCAGTTCGAGTTTGCGCTGACGGCCGTGGCGGAGGAGGTCAACGCCATCCTCAGGGCCCTCCCGCAGTGAGCCGCGGGGCGGAGGGGCCCGGGGCCGGGAGGCGCCCGCACCCGGAATGACACAACTGCCTGGTCGGTGCAGTTTACCGGTTGAAATGCGCATTTTCGTTTAACCAAATCACAGTAAGGAGAGATCGGTGGAATCATGCGATTACAGGGGGCAATCACTTTATCCGGTTTCACTTTCCTGAAAGAAAACCCTTTTCCTTGAAGCACACATTCACATTCTTAATTGCAAACAGCGTCGTCCTAACGATGCAGCAGGCTTCGCACTCCGCACGGCCTCTGAGGGCTGGCTCGTGACCTGTGAGTCTGGAGGGCGGCCGGCTCTGCAGGGAGGGGGCCCAGACGACGCGGGCAGGGCACCAGGCACGGCAGACACACGTGGCATTTGTCTCTGAGACGCTGCTCGCCCAGAGGAGCCACCGGCTTCTTCGGGAGTCAGAGCAACAGTTACTAACATTCAGCAGCTGTGGGGCAAATAATAAGAAAATCGTCACCGCATCTCGGTTCTGTTCCCACCCGGGCTGCTTGACGCCCCCCCCCCCGACCCCAAGGTCCACGGCCCATCTCTTCCACCCACCCCCAGGGGCCGGCAGGGGCCTCCAGGGGCAACCGCTTTCCCGCCTGGGGAGCCACACTTTTAACTTCAAAATATGGATTCACACGTCACAACCCGGGACAGCCGGAATCTGGGAACAGTCTGGCAGGTCCCAAGCTCCTGGTCCCCGAGGAGCGCTCTAGCCCCCCAGCAGGCACCTGTTCCTCCCTCTCAGGGGATGTCCCGGGCCCTGCCGGCATCCGGAGAGCACCTGAGCACCCGTTCCTAGAAGGACTTGCGGGAGACGGGCATTTTAATCTGCGTGAGCTCGTAGCAGCAGGGAGCAAAGTGGCAGTGCTGGCCACGGGCCCCCCGGTCGTCAGCCCCCCCCCCGTCGCCTAGGTCGGACCCTCGTGTGACACACACGGGCGTCCAGAGGCGATCCGGGCTTGCCGGAATAGCACTTGACCGTGAGGTCTGCCACCGCCCGCCCCCGGAAACGGGGCTCATCTCGCTGAACTCGGAACGATGGAATCCAAGAAGGGGCGCAGACAGCTCCACCCTGTTGGGCTCCATCTAGGATTCGGCGTGAGCGTATCCCCGGGCCCCCCCACGCCCTGCTTCGTGCACACCGCCCTTCCCGTCCCAATGGACACTGCATCCCAGAAATGGTCGCGCTGGGAGAGCGGCCTCTGGCTGGGGAGGAAGACGCCAACACCGTTGTGTCTGTACGTGGTCCCGTCCTGTCATCCACTGCAGTAGATCCGTGATGTGTTTGCCTGTCCGGAATCTCAATAATGAATAGAAACCAATTTATCTGAATATAGGAAGCATATACCTACTCGTAATTTCTAATTCTTATGTTTCAAGAGAAATCCTCCAGTGCGAGATATATAAATATATTTAACGGTGTCAGATTAAACTTTTGATTTCACATTTGAATGGTCTTTATTTGGGGAGGAGGGAGCCACCTCCCTCGCTCCGGCTCCGGACGTGAGGGCACGCAGGTTGCCGAGAGCAGGCGGGGGCCCTTCCCAGAATTCCACACCAGGTTTTCAGGGCCCGATGTGCACCAAAGACCAGAACATCTGGGAGGGTTCCCTCACAGTGAGGGGCGAGGCGGGCAGGGCGCGGTGAGGGGCGAGGGAAGGCCCCACCTTCCAGGAGGCTCTGAATTCACCCACCGGGGTGCCCACCCCTCCCCCAGTGGCCTCCTGAGACCGTGTCTGGGGTGGTCCTAACGTCACTTGTCAACACTGGAGGCTTCACCGCCAAGTGATTCAGGATGCGTTTTTATGAAATGGTCGCTTGAGACCACGGGTTTTGTTTTTGTTTTTTTTTTAATGAAAACCGTTAGATGTAATCTCACAGAAAGAAAACGAAAGTGCCACCTACCGCATGCAATTCTAGAACCTGATTAAATTCGGGAAACACACAACGGCTCGTAACAGTGACACAGTAGATCTCCGTGTGTTGGAACTCTGTTCATCGTGCTCCCTTGGAAATACACACGCGTGTGCTCACACACACACCTTCTGGTAAAGTCCTGGGAATGTGAGGGTTCTGGGGTTCCAGCCCGGCCCCTCCTGCCACGCTCCGCGCTGCCCTCACCCCGCCCTCCCCCCCCCCCCCCCCAGGGCCAGCTGCAACCGCCCTTACTTGGACCCACTTAGCCCCGACCCCAGGTGGCTGGGACAGGTCAGCGCTGAGACACTTTTGCATCTTCCTCCGAAGCCCCCAGGGTCACGGAGACCAGCACAGCCCTGTCCACTGACACCGAGTCCGCCTGCCACCGTGCCTGTCCTCGGCCGAGGCCCCAGAGCCCCGAGCACAGCGCCCGGGCGTCGGGGCAGGGGTATCGGCCCCCCGTGTCCCAGGTGGACGCGCGGGTCCCAGTGCTGCGCCCCAAACCAGGCCCGCCTGCACCAGCTGGGGCCCAAGGTTTGGGTGGTGCGAACAGGGCCCACAGAGGAGGCTGTGTTTTTCCCAGACCGTTACCTCCATGCCTGTAAAGGGCTGGTTAGCGTGCCCTCCGCTCTGTCAGCTGGCTCGCTCACTCTCCCTCTGCTGTTCCCTCCATGGAGAAATGACCGCGATATTATCCGTGGTCTGTGTTGTGTGCTTTATTAACCCAGTAGAACGCTAATAAAACCTTCCTAATTAGTGGAATAGGCATTAATTCAAAGATGCTTATTGGAATAGAAAATGAGAATTTGATTATACCTCTGTTCCTAAACCGTGGCCGGTTTCCTTCTATTCAGGGTGTGTGTTCAGGAACTGGCCTTAGCTGCTTCTTAGACAAGTGCTGAATGTCGCTTGCTTTTTACAGTGGCTGCAGGTGGGAAAGAGTGTCCTTGTCTTTCTGGACCAGGGGTCAGCATCTCCCAGCCTGGTGCTCTGGCCCGGGGAGGGACGAGTGGCCCAGTGCCCCGGGCTGGGCAGGGGTAGACAAGGGCAGCCGGTCCCCAGCCCTTCAGAGTGTTCGGTGCGGCCCAGGTGCTCCCCCACATGGCCACTCACAAGCACCATCCCCACTCGGGTAGAACCTGCTTGCGTCCAGCCACGGTAGGTTTGGGGAACAGCCGGGTACAGTGGGCTGGGCTGGGCCGCGGACGCTGCAGGGCTCAGCAGATCTGTGGAGACATTCCGCCGCATGGAAGCTTCCAGAATCCGTCCTGCACCTGCTCCAGGGACGCTGAGGGCTCCCGGGGTTGCTTCTGGCTCTGAAAGCAGCCCGGGTCTCAGGCAGGAGGGGGTGGGCTCTCAGGATAAAGGAGACAGAAGGCAGGAAGGAGCCCCCAGCTCTGCTAGCCCATCTGAAATGTCACTTTCAAGGCCCTCACCTCCCTCTTCCCGCTCTCCACCCTGCTCTCGCTGTCTCTCTGTCTCTTCTCCCTCCTGGGGCGTCTACTTTGAAGGAACAACTTACACGTGTCTTCTGGTTTGGATTTTTTAAAAAGTAGACCCACGAGTGCGGGGCTGTCCTGCTGTTTTAGGACCACGTGCTCCCTGTGGGGTGGGGGCCGTCGAAGGGGTCAAGAGACGATGCAGACTGTGCCCGTGGCCCGCGTGGCAGGTGCCGCGGGCCTGGCTGACCCCCCGTAGGGCACTGGACCCCGAGGCTGGCTCACGCCAGGCCCCGCAGGAGCCAGAGCCCCCTCCGCGGCCGACCACATCCCATCAGGGGTCCAAGTGGGTGCAGAGGCCCAACTGGGGCCGCTCTGGGGGGCTGCCTGTGGGGCTGGGGCCTCGGTGAAAACAGCCATGCTGCCCTCCCTCACGTCCCCGCAGTAGTGGCCTGAGAGCCACAAGCTGCCACCATCTGCGTCACACCTGACCCAGGCGCCACAACAAACACACGTGTGTTACTACATGTGGTCATGCACGCACACACACACACACCCCCGTATGCTCGCTCACAGGTACACGGGGGGCAGGACTTCCTGGGATGACAAATATCCGGAATCTAGAGACCGATCGATCCCTTTGCTTTAAAATCCATCTGAAGCAGGTGACACTGAGCACCACCCAGGGATGCCTCTCCAGGGGCTCCAGTCCCAAAGCCTCCCCGAGGATCCAGGGCCGTCCGCCCGCCCGGCCATGGGGTTTTCCTGAGAGGGATCCTGCCCCTCGGGTGCCGACCATCCCCACGGCCAATGGCACCTAGCCCGAGACCCGGCCGAAGGTCAGGCCCACTCCCCCGTCTGCAGAGGGACACCTGTGAGCACCCTGCTCCTGTGGACCCCAAGGCTAGAGAGACAGAGCCTGTGGCCCCACAAGGCCCAGCCGTCCCCTTGCAAACAACCCAGCTCCCGGTTCAGATCTGAACCACCCTCTCGTGTCTCTGTCATGTCCTGACACAATTATAATCACAGCACAGGAATGACTTGATTGATCAGGTCTCTGGAAACAGCTCTCCCTTCCTCGGGCACTGTTTGCTCGGCCCCCAGCCCCCAAACCGGCTTCTTGGTGAACGTGGCCACGATCCTGAGGCTTTCCTTGCCCTCCTGCGCACCACACCAGGGCACACGGCCATCGCCGTCCACTTGTGGGGGACCCCAGGGCAAGGCCACAGCCTCTGTGTCCTCCCCGCAGCCCCTCTGTCTCCACATCCAGGTTGGGGCAGGGGAGCGGCTGAGCGGCACCTTCCCGCAGCGTCCACAGGGGCCCCGCCACACCCCCGGCCCCGCATTCAGCCCGTGATGCTCACCCTCTCTACCTCAGCTTCCCCGTCTGTAAAATGGGCTCCACACTCGACTTTGGGGCGAGAACCACACAGAGGCCCGGGTCGGGTGGATGCCAGCCCCACTGTACCCAGCCGTTTCTCATCCAGCATCGTGGCTGACGGCCCTGCGCTCTGCGGAAGGCCCCTGTCAACGACACTTGGGATCCACCCAGGCTCTGAGCAAGTTAAGAAATCCACCAAAGGGGGCAGGACGCCTGGGTGGCTCAGCTGGTTAGGCGCCAACTTCCGCTCCGGTCGGGATCTCACTGTTCGCGAGCTGTTCCAGACCCACGTGGGGCTCCGCGCTGACAGCTCAGAGCCGGCTTCAGATTCTGTGTCTCCCTCTCCTCTCTCTCTCTGCCCCTCCCCTGCTCACACTGTCTCTCAAAAATAAAATAAACATAAAAAATTAAAAGAAGAAGAAGAAATCAATCAAAGGCAAAGGCGGGAGCCAAAATTTGGCCTTGAAGGAGGATGGGGCTAGGGCGGGATACTGAGCTCCAGGGGCCCCGCCCACCACTCCGTACCCCGCCCACCACTCCGTGAGGCCCCGCCTGCCGCACCGCCCCGGCCGGCCACGCCCACCACGCCTTCCTTCGGCCACGCCCACCTCGCCTCCCGCCTCGCCCCGGTCGCGCGGTCCTCTGTGACCCTCCGCCCGCCTCGACTTGGGTTTATCGACTCCGCAGACTGCTCACTCCTGCCTCCGTGTGCCTCACACGTTCTCCTTTTCTCTCCCCTTTTCTTCTCCAGCCGGAAAGGTCAGACCCTGAGCAGTCAGCCCGCCGGGCTCGCCGATAAAACCCGGCGTGGAGCTCTGCCCGCCCCCCGCCCCCACCCCACCCCAGCAGGCTCCCCAGGCTCGGGGCGCCCACCCGGCACCGGCCGTGACCGCCCGTGACCGCCCGTGACCGCCCGGGTGGAACACCGCGGAGCGTGCGCTGTCGGGGCCAGGGGGCTCCCTCACGGACGGGGACGGGGACGGGGACGCCCCCGCGGGCTGTGGTCGTTTCCCGGAGGAACCCGAAGAGAGCAACGGGGTTCACCCAGAGGCAGGGGCTGCCGACGGCGCGGCTCCGCCCCGCAGGGGCCGGAGAGGCGGGCGCGCACCCTCTGCCCTGCGTGCTCGACCCCGACACCGGGACCGGCCGAGGGCGGGGTCGGCGGGGGGGCGGGGGTGTGAGCAGTCAAGGCCACCTTTCCACGAAGGCCCTGAGGACGGGGCTCCGCACCCACCGCACCGCGCATAGACCCACACCGCCCACATGCCACACACCCACACGCACACACCCACACGCACACAGACACCCCCACCGCACCCCGCATAGACCCACACCCCCACATGCCACACACCCCCCACGTACACACCCTGTGTAGACCCACACACCCCACGCACACAGACACCCCCACACGCACCCCGCACCCCGCATAGACCCACACACACCCCACACCCGGCACCCACATCCCATACACCCCCACACAGACACACACCCCACACAGGGCACGCGTGATGGCACCGTCGTCCCTGCCAGGCGGGTCACCTCAGCCAGCGGGGCCCAGCAGCTCTGGTGCCGCCCCAGTCTTGCCTTGGAGGCCCCCACGGCGGCTGACACCTTGCTCCACGGTGTCCCTGTGACTACGTCTCCTAAGTTCAAAGGTGCGTTATTATCGGAAAACACGATCACGGAGAAACCATGAAAATCTCAAGAGT